TTATTATTATTATTATTATTATTATTATTATTATTATTATTATTATTATCATTTACTATTAGTACAATCATTTAGATTTAAAAATAATTAATCCTCGAGTGTAGGCAATTGAAAGCTTAACTCGCTCGGACCACATTGCAACTCCGCTACGACCACGTAACGGTGGTCGATATCATTTAGTAATCAACCAGTTTTGAGCAGTCGTTAGAAGCACGAACCGACGACAATAGAACCACACCACAACTACAAATATGGAACATTCCATATTTATATTTATATTATGTTTATTTTTTTACAAATTTTATTTAGAGTAAAAATCGATTTAGAAGAGGAAGCATAATTGTTACTTTTATACAATAATAACGACAGTATATTTTAATAATCATGATTATCATGTTGGTGGCGAGTGGTCAGAGAGTGACTGGGGCGAGTCACATCACGTGCGCAACGTTCAACCACAGACGACCACAATTATGTGGGTGATCCGTTGACAAATCGTACCTGCTGTTGGACGTGACGGCAGAAAGTCTATGTACAATTGCATTTATCATATTATTTTATATGCTATTAATGTATCGACTACGATCGACCACCGTTTTAGGTCGTAGCGTCGTTATAATGTGGTCCGAGTAAGTTAAGCTTAAACGGTAATTTTATCCGACGTTGTGTTTATTTTTTTATTCAATAGAAGTATGGAAAATGAGCCGTCTCATTATAACTAGGAACAAGCTGGTAAATATATAAATAAATAAGAAATAATAAGTATGGGAAATTATAATAATTTATTGCACTAAAAACGTTCCGTTTACACGACTCAATTGAATCCTTGTTGATTATAATTTCTACCTTAATAGCTTAAAGTATCTAATTTTAAACGAATTCGTTTTCTATTCAAATATTTATCGTCTATTTCGTAATTGAAATGTCATTAAAACGCTTCTGAAAAACATTTTTTTTACCTTCTATATTAATAAATTACGAATAAATTAAATCACACAACTGTTACATTGTATTCTTACAATACAAGGAATAATATCAATTAAATGCGAATTATTTAAAGAATAAAAAATTTTGATTATTTATGATGAAACGTGGTCGTGGTAATAATAGTTATAATTATTTCATTGAATAGGTAAAAGTATTATTTTTAAAAAAAAGTTTACTGCTGTGTTGTTTTATTTAGATACTTTAAAAATGATAAATTATTTTAAGAATATTAATCGCGAACAAATTTTTAATTTTTTTACTTGTGCCTAACATATGAATGTTATTATGTTTGTTCGAACTTCAACCGAACTATCTAATGTTAACCATCCATTAAACTTACTCGTATTGTACCGTATGTTTTTTCAAATGCATCAATTACGGTTTTAATTATATCGTTAAATCTATAAAAGGGTGTTTTCCTGATATTTGTTGACCCTTTCGATTAATGTTATCAATTTTACCTGCGGTCTACCGATATCATTACTGACGTCAATCAGTTTAGTTCATCAACACCGCCAAGAACGAAACGTATACCAAATATTGTTTCTAATCAAAGCATTGCAATTAATTATGGTGTACATTACACGAACATTAATTAAATCGTAAACGGAAAACAGTTGAAACTGAAACTGACCCGCTGCGATATAATGATGATTAATAAGCCTTAACGCGTCGGATTACGGAAAAACGTTTTCTCGTCCAAACAGTTCTGTTTTTATCGTTTTTTCGTGTAATTTAATTTAATTTAATTTTTTTTTGGCGTCAGGTTGTTACTGTTCGATAAACGGTTGGGTCAAACGTTTATACTTTTGACTTTCGGGTGTTGTTCACCGGTCGTTATTCGTCCGCTCGCAACCGTCACGGATCGGCAGCAACAAGCTCGTTTCGATCTCGTTAGGCTCTCGCTGCTGCCGTTCGCGCGCGCCCACGGGAACAGAGTTCCGTTGGGTCTGCGCAGCGTTCAGACCAACGACCGCCGGACGCGTGCACGCCGTCAATTGACGTGGAAAACGTCGACGAAACGCTGTCGCGGTCCCCTCCGCGCGGCCACGTCACGTCCGTACCGAAACGCAGACCGATCGCACGCGTTTGCTCGGCCCGACGTTTTTCGCCCTAAACCCTAACGCGGTCGCGCGCCTTACCTTTTCCAACTGGTCAACGGTGATGCCCATGGCCACGGACAGCAACAGATGGTTGGACGTGATCTTCGGCCGGACGAACTCCAGCACCGGTTTGACCACCGACGGTTTGACGGCCAACAGCAGCACGTCCGAGTTCTCGGCCACCACTCGGTTGTCGAACGTCACCGTGGACCCGAGCTCCTGAGAACAAACGTGCGCAAAGAACAATAAATAAAAACGGTTCACGGCTGTTCCGCGCTCCCGGGCCCGTGGATCCCGTCCCGACTCGCCTTGAACGCTTCCACGCACTGCACGTCTTGCGGCACGCAGCTGGCCGTGATGTGTTCACCTTTGGTGAGACCTGTGTCCGAGAGAAGCGAATGGAAAAAAAAAAAAAAAAAAAAAAAGAAAATAAGAAAAAAAAGAACAAAATTAGCGAATCGCGTTTCCCACTATCGATCTCTCTCTCTCTCTCTCTATCTATCTCTCCGTCTCTCTCTCCGTTTCGACTCACCGGCCGTTAGAAATCCTTTGGCCAACGCCTGGGCCATTTTGCCGGCGCCTAAGAATCCGATTTTCAACATGTTTCCGGCAACAGGCGCGTGTCACTGTCGCCCACCAGACGGGAGCTGTGCGAGCAGCCGAAGGAAGTCACCGCGTGCACGCGTTCACGACGACGGTCCTGAGAACGGAAATGCGGTCGGGACGTACGCGGACTGCTGCGGGTACAACCGCTGCGACTGCGATTAACCGGTACGTGCAACGAGAACACCGGTAGTGCGTTGCAGTATGAGAAACTAATTCTATTAACCTTTGATCAGCGCTATCGGACCGTCGATGGTCTACGGGTCGTTTTGCCCACCTGCCGCCCAAAAAGCGCTCCGATAAGAACGCGCGCCGGGACGGATTACGCGCGGACACGAGAGTACGTAACAAGTGTGTACACTATGCGTTCGACGATTGTGCAACAGAGCACGTACGTTCAGATAAACAACTGCTGTGCCGTACGATAACGAAGTGTAAACGGTCGAGTGTTGTTGTTGTTTGGCTGCTGAACGAATGCAAAACGACCGTTGGCCTACGTGTCTTTCTTGCACGTTCGTCGTTCCGCGTACGCGAGTCCCTTTTGATCGTACGACATCGTGTGTTCGCGCCCTATTGCCACCAGCGCGCCTTACGCATGTCGGACATCGGGAGAAAAATCACAAGCGTTTTCGGTTGGAAAAATTTAAACTCAATCGCGACCGTGCACCGCGTGCGCCGAGTTTTATGCGGCACGTGAACATCGCGAACGTAACTGAAACACGGAGTAGGTAGGCTGGTTCGCTGTTTATCAACATTTTTCGCGTCGCGATAGAGCTTAACCAATAACACCGTGTCGAAACGTAATTATCATTTCACGAAGAGTTTATGTACGTACTTCTGCGGCGCAATCGGAGTACCATTGTAATCAATAACAATTAAAATATAACATAAGTAAATCCTAATGTACACATCTATTGTTATTATCATCGTTAATATAGTTACTGTTATTGGTTAATTAATTCTTTAAACAATAATAACAATAATAATAAATTGACTATAATGGATTTCTACAAAAAAAAAAAAAAAATTGAATAACCGAATTTATCTATATTAATATTATAAATTAATTTATTACTGTGTCAGTTAATAGATAAAACAATACATTACTAGATAATTAGAAATTTAAGTATTATTAAGTATTATTATTTTTTTTAAACTCAAAACCGTTGTTAAATTTTAATAACTTAAAATTAATATAATATTACTATAGGTACAGCAATCACAATTATTAGTACCTAAGTATTTTTATTAGTTGAAGCCTCTATAGCAACAATGATCATTCGCTGATCTTTATTCTACAAACAATAAAAACGTTTGAAGAACTTATAAATATATCTAATATAAGAAAAAACAAAAAATATTGAGCGCTTTAATGAATATTTTAGAAAACTGTTTACTTTTTTCTGTAGGTAAAAAAGGTAAAAAGTATTATTCTAGATTATTTTTCCTGTTTTTGGATAGGATTTGTGATCAAGTCTTATGATCCAAGAGCTGATATACCGTTTCGTATACGTCATATTTCAATAATTATTATAAAACCAAACAATTGAATTTATTGTATGAATAATGAATCGTAAGTAATAAAAATATACTAATTCCAAAATAAAGTTCTTTTGCCAAAACTTTTGAATATTGTATTAAAATAAATTTTTAAATCGTATGAAAACAGAATTTCCAAAAGCTTTACTCAAAATATAATTAAAATTGATAATATTAATTTTACAATGCTGAGCTAATTACCATTGAATCTAGTGTTAGTACTGAAAAATTATTTTATACAGATACAATTTCATGCATTTTCCCTCATTAGGAAGACTTACCGAAACCATATACTAATAATACATTCAATATTATAAAACGTTTGTTACCAAACAAAAATAACATTATTCTTAAATAGTTTTAAAATATTTCTTTTAATTTTTCGTCGGTAGTTTTTTATCTTCTAAAAGAACAATACGAATTTTCTAACACTGAAAAATACTCAATAGACCAAGGAATTATTAAAAAAATTGTATACTATTACTAAATTAAAAAAAATATAACAAAAATATCACGTGATGAAGTTTAATAAACATTATTATTTTAATCTCTATTGTTGTTTTTATTTATAACTCAATGACTAATAATTATCATCAGCCAAGTGAAATTAGTAAAAACAATTTATTTAACTAAGTATTGAATATTATAATGGTTATCGTTCTCCGTAGATGCAACTAAGATTTTATTTGTTGGGTGTTGATTTTTTTTTTTTTAGTATCACTTTAATAAATGACATATTTTTTCATTTATATCTGTACTTATTATGAGGAGAATAAATAAATATTTTAGTGTGCTAATCCTCCCCCAAACCTCTATCTAATTGTGCCTACGTCAATGCCATAAATATGTACAAAATAGGAAATACTCGTAAATTAAAACAGGACATGTTTTTTTTTATTTGATTTTTTTTTTTAAATTTTATTTTATTCAACAATTATTAAAAGATACATATATTAACATTAATGCTTTCAGTTTGGATTGTAGCCATTAAGGCATATATTGGGTTCACGAAAATTTTATTTTGTACTGTTGAAAATATAATATACATTTTCAAGTTTGTTTTATCAAGGAATAAAATAGAGTACATTTATTTTTTTTTTTTTAATAAAAAAATAAATAAAACAGTTAGAACAATTAAGAGTAATTTGTTTGAATATCAATCAAGTATGCAACTATAATTGTATTTTATGTCATTACGTGGGCACATTTCTACTTAGTAAATTACAAATTAATTATAAGAACAGCACGGGTACGTTATTAATTGATATAAATTATTAAACATTTAAACTATAAGAAAAGTAGATATCTATTGTAACGAATCATATTTACTTCATTTCTATATCTCCTTCAGTCTAAACCAATAAGACCAATGGCGTATATTTGGGAGAGGCGGAAGGTTCCCTGGTTCAACCCCCAGAAGAAAAAAAGTTCAAAAATCACAAATGACGTTCTACGAAAGTACAGAAAAAGAGAACATTAATTTATATCATGTGGTTGTAAATAATTCTTCATTTGTATTTATAATAAATAATAATAGAAAAATATAATTATTAATTTATAACTTATATGTATTTTTAAAATATATTAAAATCATATATTTCTTAGAAAAATTGTAAGCCCCCTCCCCCCACAATTTGAAAATACGCCAATGAGTAATAACTATACTTAAGTAAAAATAAAACTATAAGTAATCGGTGCCTACAATTATTCTTATCTTGTTTATGATCAGTCGGCTGTATATTTCCTACTACCTACACTAACCGGCCTTTGGTCTCATTTGCATGAATACGAACAAAGTTCTTTAAGTTAATTACATACTTATAAATAAATAAATACTACCTACGAATACGATATGACTATCAAACAACAAAAATGACCTGAATTTCAATGCAGGTAATACGATTTTTAACGAAAATTAAATTTTACTGTTAATGTCATATTATATTAAAATAGATAATATATTATATACTCACATTAAAATTTCAGCTGAGTAATATATTAATATTTTAAGTTAATGATTACCCATACTGTACAAGCAATAAAGGAATCGGAGTACGAGCCAGCGGGTTCAGACTTAAAATCAAATATTTATTGTGATATAGCTATGTATATGTCTATAGTACAGTATTTTTCTAAATTGCAATCTGATTTTTTTATTTTGATATGATTTGGAAACAAACTTCGGTTTAATGTTCGAAACTCGTCAGGTTATTAAAATATTATTACACACGTGTTTTCTCAACGCACGTGCCTATAACCTACCTACGTCCTTGTGTTTGCCCGCGTGAAACGCGATGTGAAAAAAACATCATTCGTTACATTATTTAGGTATAACTTGTTCGAAAACCAAGTATTAATTAAATTATTATTTTTGCAACGAAAAGTTAATTAAAATATAAAATATCAAACTTTAGTAAGTAGTTCAGTGAGCTCAGGGGGCTGAAATTTAAATTATTGTAGCCCTATATATATCGTAATATTGACCAAATTGCACATTTTGAACACATTATTCTGTGATTGGTGTATACAAATAAGTAAAATACGTAGGTACGTTGATAGGCACAACTAGCCCTAAAACCATAGACATATTAAGACATTTAGGCGTCTTAATATGTCTATGTCTAAAACAACAAGACACTGAAAAGTAAAATATTAGACATTCCTACCCATAGATATTAAACAATTTTAAAAATCTAGTATTCATTTTGATTGGACTAATTTAAAATTAAAAGTGATTAAGTGTTATCACCTCATAAGTTGGACTAATCAATATCACATTTATGCTATTTCGTAGATTTGTAACTAAAACTTTGGTGTTTTAGTTCTTATTAATTGTAGGTACCTATTGTTCTTGAACGCCTCCATAACTTATCTACAAACGGTAAATTATTAATAAAGTATTATATATTTTCAATCACTTTCAGAGCACTACCAATATTCGTACTTGCTTCAGCAGTACATATACTAAAATTTTTTATAAGATAATATGATTATTACATACCTACCATATGTTTTAATTGACAGACTTGCGAAATCCCCTCAAAACCCACCAAGACTTAAATCACGTAATCCACCATGGAAATCCGCCATTACACTTTACAACACGAACTTCAATATGGAAATATGAATAAACAACTTCAAAACTGGATGAACAAAATTACCTAAAAGAACCTACAGATAAGCCTCCTAGACACAATTTTCTCAGAAAAGAATGGACTACTCTAAATCGCATCCGCACATGACATAGTAGATGTGGATACCTGATACACAAATACAACACAGTGTCAACCCCAAACTTCAAATGCGGCAACCCATACCAGGCCATATCGCATATAGTAACTGAATGTCCCATCAGAAAATTTAACAGCGAACCTGAAGATATGTTTAACGCTTTCCCAGAAACTATTGAATGAATACAAAATCTTGATATTAAATTATAGGCATCTGCCAAAAATATATATTCATATACATTGTTATTATAATGCATATTTTTATTATTATACTTATTGTCTTTCTGATATAGCCTTATTAATGTTATATTTTATTAATGGTTATAATTATCATAAATATTATTAGATGTTTTCTGTTTTGCCATACGAATAATTAAATAATAATCGACGGATTACGCAAAAATCTTGGATTTGTTTTATTCCAGATATGGAATTCAAAAGAATTTTTTAAGAAACTTATATAATTCCTTACAACTTAAGTTAAACCTGAATAATAAAACAGTCAATCATATATTTCTACTAACTACAGCTTATCAAAAATATGATTAAATGTTATAAATGAAATATTCCTAGTTTAAAATATTGAACTTAATGTAGTAAATAATGGCTATAATGACAGAAGCAAAATAAAATAAAGTACTCATCATAGTAAACATGTAACCTATATTATAACATGCATAACACTAAATATGTTATAATAAAAAGCACACGTTTTTCATTAAATACCAAATCATTCAAATATTTGTTATAGTCTAAATTACATGAAAATTATATAAAAAAGTATTATTTTCATTGTCAATAAATAATTAATTTAAAATAAGCAAATTTTCATACATAGTTTATATTATAATAAATCCTATTTTAACAGTTGACGATATAATTCAAATGTCATACTTTACTTTCAACTGTTGAATTTACATAATACTTACCTTTTAATGAGTATACTTGATGTACCACATATTTAATTTTACGATTATATAGGTGTAACTTGAAAGTATTAAATATTATATTCCACTTACAAGACTGAACCAATTATATGAATAATTATATTTTTAGAAACTATACAATCTTGTACTAGTCTTCAATTAATAATACAAATAAAATGTAAAAAAGTAATAATTAAAATCAATTAATTTTTTAAATATGACAGTATATATATATATATACAGTTCTAAAATATAGTTCAATACTGAAAATTATTTTTTTATCAAGAGATCAACATCAGACTTTCATCATCATTCTGATGACCAATAAAACAATAAATAATAACAATCAACTAATTACATTAGATCAAAAATTATCAAAGCTCAAGAAATCAGTACATTATTATCAAAATATGTTCTCATCAATCACTAGTATCTTACTACTTAGGAAACTGTTTGCAGATTCTGGAATTATAAATTAAAGATGTATTTTTTTAAAACATTTAATTCTCAAAAGATCATACACGAGTCTAAATTTTTAAAATTATCAATACTGTAGTACTAAACCCGATCAGGCGGTTGATACGAACACAATGGAAAATTGTTTTTTTTTTTTTTTTTGGTATACTTATGTTATTACATAAATGTAATCAATAATAATAATAATAATAATAATAATAATAATAATAGTAGTAGTAGTAGTAGTAGTAGTAGTAGTAATAATAGTAATAAATAACATTTGTTTATAATGATTTATCAATTAAACTTAGATTAGGTTATTTTTCAGTTTGCTTTAACCTAAATACACGAGCCATCACATTGTTTTTCATCCGCAGCAAGCGGTTCTCAACTAAAGTGGTATCATCTATAATAAACAATATTAATATAAAGAATATTTAAGTTTATCGTTAAATAAATAATAATAATTAATAAAAATTTAACAAATTTTTTTTTTCTTTTCAGTTTTTAAAATTTTATAAGAGAACTTTGTTGTGCTGGTGTTTATTAAAAATGCTATATATAAACAATCACAAGCATTTCATTTTTTTTAATAATTATATTTTATTTTTGGCCTTATTATAAAGAGATCCAACAACAGGGGCTCAGCAGCAATAACATTAAAAAAAACAAAAATTAAACAAAAATATATAATTATAAATCAGATTTGACAGTCCAAACGGAACATCATAATTTTAGCAGATCTTTGTTCATAATAGGCAAGTTTTTCATCAAATTAATGATGTTTATATCTGCACAGACATTTTCAAATGGCTTACACCAAATGAGCAGTTAATACTGTTCTAATTTTCATAAAGCATTTATCAAAGTGCAACCTACAAAGAGAGTTAAAAGTTGTTTAAATCCTATAAAAACCATATAAAAGATATACTATACTAGTAATATTTAATCAAATCTTGGTACGCTGACTACTCAAATTCAATTTAACCTAATTAATTAAAATGTTTTAACTTTAAATCCAATAAAATCTGTTCTGATTAGACTATAAGTAACATTCTATAACTTATAAACGAGTCATTTCTAAAGATTTAAGGTCACCCCCCAGAACTGCCATTTGTATGGTGTCTGAAGCCATGTCAGCGCTGCTTGATGACTCCGTGTAGCTAGGTGTGCCTTCTGTCCATGTGGCTTCCACAGAATGTCTGCCTGCTGAACCCCCGATGCCAGATGTGGTGCTGCCCGATCCCACACTCAATGTAGACGACTTACTCTCGCCTGTATGCGAAGAGCCTGAAGGACCATCTGTACGCATACCAGGTGAAGGACGACGTATGCGAGTCATACTAGAACGTTTATCGTAGACGAAATCACGACGAATAGCATCCTCAAAAGCTGGAGGTGGTGTTGAACACGTAGAAAATGTGCCCTCTGGATCAGTTTGATCTCGTGTACGCGTTCTTGACATACTACGGCGTTTAGAAGGCGATCGTTTCAGGGGACACAAAAGTTTTTTAAACACAGACCTAAACAACAAAATAAACAAATGTTAAAATAGGAAAAACAATTATTTAATAATTCAAAATACTTGGTCATAAAATCCAAAAATCTAGTTGCATAAAAATCAGGTCTGTGTACTGAAACAGTATCACCATCATGTATAATAGCTTTGAACGTGTGCTCTAGTTTTTTTTTTAGTCTATAGCTTTGAAGTATATCTATGATACCAACAAATAACAACAAACTATCACCACTTCCACTTCTAGCAGGTATGCCACCTCTAGGTGAAACACAATCTTCATCAGATGAAGTTCCAGTATCTGCTTGAATACTTTCCATTGCAGTTGAATGAGCCATTAAGCGCTGTCGATTTGCTTCAGCTGTTCTACTTAAAGTAGATGTTTCCGATAAAGTATCTGCATCATTTTCAACAGCCTTACGTAAACGTGCCACGCGTCTTTCTTCTTTTTCTCTCTGAGCAAGATCTACATTATGAACACCCACTAAAAGACTGTAATCCATAATTTTAAAACTTTCTAGTACTCTACAATCTCTTTGCATAGTCTTGAGAAGAGCTGAATGAGTATCTGGCTCCAAAAAAATACCATCTGGATGATGTTCTTTGAAATCTAAATCTTTAAATGTAGGTGAAGATTTTTGTCTTTCATCCTTAGAAGCTTTTCTTTTATAAGTTGAACCTTTCAGATCATACTTTTGATGCATTTTTATATTAGAGGGTAATAAATTGTTCATAGCTACTAATCTAATGTTTTTTGAATTGCATTGATAACAATAGAGACCGAAAAATTTTGGCAAAAGAGTTCTTGGATTCTGATTCAAATTCATGTAGTATCCAGGAAGGAGTTTTTGTAAGAATTCACCTTCCTTATGTTGTACAGTTTTCATAATGAATTCATCATCCCGAGTAAGATAAAATATTGACCCACTGGCGCCCGGATTTGACAGTTCACGAAGGGGGGAATTACAAAATGATATAAGATAATCATCTGGCTGAATACCAAATAAATCTCTAAAATAACGGAATGCAATTGGAGCATATGTTTTGAAAATAAACTCTGGATAATGGTGAGCTGGAGTGTGATTAGTTCCATCACTTGGAAATACAGTTGTTTCAACAGTCATAAAATCTTGCATAAGTAAATCACGTTCAGGTTTAGAGGCCAAGCCTCCTACTGCATGTTGTATTCCCAGTTGTATGGAACCCATAATTTGACCAGTTTGAATTTTTTTATAGGTAATTTCTCCATCAACTCCAACTCGCCTATGACCGAGCTTCTTTTCTTTCTCTTTGGCTTGAAGATCATCTTGTTCTGCAATAGAGATTTCTTTTTCAGTAGCAACATCTACAACAATCAAATGTAGACATTATTCATTAGTTCATTACTAAAAAGTTAACAAAATACAGTAAAGTAATTATCTAATAGCCAATATATATTATACTAAACTAAAAATATATCATTCTATTCTAAACAGTGACTATTTAAAACCATTTAAAAATAAAAAGTTTTTTCAATAGGGACGGTTTCTGGAATAAAGAAATAATATAATCCAATAATATTGACCCAACCAAATGTAAATTTAATTGTTATTGTAATTTGCCTAATAACTCTACCCATTTTACTCCTCTTGTTTATAGACAAACTTCCAACAAGCTTTGTACATATTTTAGAAATAAATGCGAATTTATGAACTATTTAATAATTTGAATAATTTATTAAATTCTATATGCATTCTATTAAATACATCATTAAAAATTCAGACCGTCCTAATCTTCAAAAACTTGATAAGTTAACTCTAGTTCAAAATGTATTGTGTATATACGTCAAACAAATTCATTGCATGTTATCATAATATAAAATCTAAATGTTAAACTACTTGAATATTAAATCTTACCCGAATATTTAGTGCATCTTATAAAGAAAATGAGACACTTAAGGATATTAGTCATGTTAATAATAACAGTATTAAATACATTTTAAAACTTGTAATGTTAAAACTTAAAAATATTTAACTAACAAGAGTACACATGAAAATCAATCAGAATTATATTTAATTTGATAGAACAACGTGTGTAAGTTATCAATGTTAAATTCGATAAAATTGAAAGTAATTACTTGTCATTTATAATGTAATAAGCAGATAAGATGATGGGTATAAGTAGGATAATAAAGCATATCAATACTACAGTTTTGTCTCGTTGTCGTTACTACACTATTGTTTATACCTATTATATTTAATAATGGTAAAATAATGTATGAATAAAAATTCAAGCAAAGTTTAGGAGTATTTTCTAAGTAAAACATTCTTGTTATTACCTATTTCAGCGTCCTTTCTTGTTAGATATTAACTATAATATGTATGTGAATAACCTATTATTTATCAATGAATTTAAAAATACATTTTAAAAATTGCCGACATCAATATTATTATTTTTCCGAAAATTAAAAATCAAATATATTTTAGAAATAAACGATTCGCAAAAAAAGACAAAAAAGTAATAGTATTAATGTTACGAACATTTCAAAATATAAAAATTGTTAAACCAGAATAGTTATATAATTCAAAACTCAAGATCTGTGTGAAAAGTGCCGAAACACGACGTAGAGATGGGTGTTATGCGAACGTCCAAGTGTAATAAATACCCTTCAATTTTCTTTACGAGCCATGCTGTTTTATACAAGCTTTCAAATACATAATTCAAAGCAATGATTAATAATTTTTAACAATAATAGAAGAGCTAATATATGGGCAGTTTTGCGTTCTTTCATTGTACTTTATTACCCTCCTATTAAACCTTGAAAACCGACATATGCAAGACTATTTTCTACCATTAATTTGCGTATAATAAATGTTAAAGAATAAACACACAAAACAATTTAATATATTTTTATAATATATTTTTCCAGGCTATAATTCAAGAAATATTGGCTGACTTATAATAAATATCTAAGTTTATAAGTCACTGAAATATGAATACAATTTTTTATCAGTAAAGTTATTAATATTATATAAGGTTTAAATAAGAATGTATTTCCAGTATTCAGAATTAATTATAATGCATTTAAATATTATACTTTGATTTTATAAAAAGAAGTTTGAAATTAAAATTAAACATAACTCATGGAGAATCTAGTATTTAAATTTATAAATTCCAAGGTTAATAATACTATATAATAATTTAGTAAATTAAATATTTGTTTAAATGAGTAATAGTGAACTTAAAACATAACATCAATGAAACTATATAGAAATATAAAAAAAAACAATATTTGATAATAATGTTCATAATGTATATTTACTTAAGAAAACATCAAAACACATCCAATTACTACATAAAACCAAACTATTTAAATAGTAGGCCTATTAGCACATGTTTATAGGTAATGTCAATGTAATATATTTAATATGTGTTTTATATTATTTTTTATATCAAATAACTAGCTTGCCCTGAAAATGGAATATATATCATATAATATTATATTATACACTATATTTAAAAATGAATAGCAATATTCATATATGTTTATCTAAATTAATTTATTTAATATAAAATAATATATTTATAAGCAGTGACAGGAGCATGCCTAGGGGGATTTGGGTGTTCAGCCCTCCCCCTCTGAAATGATTTAGCGAATTTATAAAAAATATATTGTTTAATATTTTTAAATAATTTAAATTTAATAATACTATAAAATTAATTATTACCAAAATTATTATTTTGTGAAATAAATACATTTGAAATAGGTGATAGGAAAAATATTTAACCTCCCCCCAAAAAAAAAAAAAAAAAGCTTGGCACGTCCTATGTGCCTATTTATTTATTCAAGGATTGACCCAACACAAAGTAGTTCATTTTACTTATTTTTTTCAGAATTATTATTAAAAATACCTTCATGATAAATTTATTAATTTTAGCTTAGTTTTTTACCTAGATAAGTATACACTGGTTTGGATGAGTTGAAAAAAAAATAATAATAAAAAATAACTTTTAAAACATACTAATTATTGTTAATCTCTTTTCTATAGATAGATGTATACCAAACATGACTTAATTGTTTAAAGTGAATCATATGAATGATTTAAATATATATATATATATATATATATAAATACAATTAATAAAAATGTAATAGGCTAAATGCTTTAATCTTATTAGTGGCATATTAAAGAGAATGTTATCACTTAAAATGTATTAGCATAAATTTATTTTTCACCAATATAATCACAAAATTAAAAAGTACTCAAGAAAATTGTATTTAAGATGACGAAAACAAAAATGAAATCATTCGCTTCATTCAGAATTTAAAATATTGTCTTAAATTCAATATTAGGTTTAAGTTTTATAAGAAATATTCAGAGATATTCTAAAAATAAAAGAAAATATAACATATATTTTCTTAAATTAATACATTCCTATTAATAAATTAATATTGATTTCTATTAATTTTATAATTTATGGAAATATTTTAAAATTAATCAAATTTATTATAATCAGATGAATTAAAAATAAAAGTTGAAGCAAAATAATATTTATCCAATTTAACAAAGTGCGGTATATCTCCTTGATATTCAAGTACACTGTTTAAAAGGCATTACATGCATATTTTATTTTTGTAAATAAATAAAATTATAACAATTAAGAAGTGTCATTGAAAAATCATAATACATGGCATAATAGTTAGTATATATCAATGTCTCTAGCAAGATAACGTATAACACTTTCCATATTTAGGTATTTATTTTCACAAGAATGTAAATTAAATATAGCAAAAAATTTAATAATTGTTAATAATTAAGGAAACCAATATAAAAATTAAAGAATGAAATACAAATTCAAATATTTCTTATAATCTTTATAATGAAAATATTAAAATAATATCATCAACAATATATTCTTTAATAATAAAATATTAATATTTTTTAATGTTATATAATACATTAAACTTTTAAAGTAAAATATTACAAGATATGACTTACCCTTATCGAGTGTAGAATCAACCTGGTCTTCAACAGCAGGCCTAATATCATTTGTGTCCATTTTGTTTAAAACGCTGTTTTTAGATTAATTTTTATCTTCGCATATCCCAGCAAACTCATTCAACTTAGCATTTACTAACTCATTGAATCGTCGACAATAGTCTTTGCTGATATTAGAAAACAATGCAAAGTTAGTCTCGTAAAAGGTTTGAGAATAACCAGTATCTTGATCGAAAACTTTAGAAACAACACAAAAACCCTGGTGGTTCAAGAGAACACAAAATCGTTGATTTTCAAGTGTTTCGATATTCAAATATACACCATTGGATACTATCAAGGATGATATTTCTATATGCTTTAATAAGGATCTCTCACTCTGTATCACAGATTTTGCTTCAGCATACCAATCAAGAGTATTTTCCATGTAAGTGTTTCACCTGAAATGTATATGAAACACTATTAATATTCAAGCAATACTGTTCAAGATGGACCAGTTTAAGTCAAGGTTGAAAAATGTTAAGCCTAACCTAAAAATAAATCTTAAGTTTAAGAGTATCAATGGTCCAAGGATAATATTACTGACGAAACGAACAAGAACAACAAGTAACTACGTTCATATCTGGTGTTCAAATTACAAAAAGGAATTATGTACATGGGTTGTTCTTCATTGATGGGTTAGGTGCGGGGATAGTGATAGGGCAAGTCGACTTACGGATGATTTGATCAAAGGTTCACCAAGAGATCTACAGAAAAGGGCGGGAACCAATAAAACGATTCATTTAACACGGTAACAATGCACGCAGACCGAATAGCCTAAAACATAACGTTTTGGTAAAAAACATTTAAAAAAAAATATAACAAAACATAAATTACAAACTAAATTTCTACAAAACAATAACAGAACCCGAAAAAATTATCACTAGTCTGGTCTTCACAGGTGTTGATAATAGGAACGGTTTTCGTTTGAAGGTAGCGACGATCGATGAATCATTTTTATTTATTTTTTTTCACTTTTCGAAAACGGCTGCAGAACTGCGCAGGCTTAACCGAATGTTGTGCACGGTCGCGCATACATCGTCCTACTTATGGGTCCGTTGACGTTGAACCCGTGCAGACTTCTAACAAACTTTTTAAGCCGGTTAACTCTAGAATAAAAAAAAAAAAAGAAAAAAAGTTACACAGGTATAACGCCGTTAACGATTTATTCGAATCGTAATTGAAACCCGTTGAGACGACGAATAGAACGTATACGTATCTAGATCGTCTGCGTTTAAATTAATAACATCAACGTGTTCGGTGCGCGGACAACAAAAGCAATTAATAACGAACGACTGTTTACGCGTTTAAATTTCGAAAATCAACGTCTAGATATTCTATAAAACAACAAGGTATTCTGATTATTATTGTTATCATTATTTTCTCTACGATCACGCTATTGACGGAACTATTTAGCTGGCAGGTACTCACCGATCGTCACACCATTCGCGTGCACAGCGATCCGAGTACGACTGACGTATGCTTTTCGGGTAGATACAATCATTCGAAACGATGGACGCAATAATATTATTATGTTGCCGTGTGGTACTTAATACTAATACATCTCCGGTCGTCAATCCTCGGCACTTTGGAAAGTGCCACTCTGCAATGTACCGTCCAGTGTAATAATATGCAGCGATGACCTTAAACGTGTTCGGACGTACGTTTTCTTACCGAATGTACGTGCCATGCGATAGTGGGTCATTATAATAATAATAATAGTAAACCTAATACGTTCAGGACCAACGCAGGCTATCCGGACGAATTGCGGTGGGCTCCGCCAACTTATTTTACATTTAGAGCGCCAATAAATTATAAGCTATATGCGTTTGTACAGGTAATATTAACAATACGAATAGCATCCAGTACCCACTTGTCCGCAGCAATTTTCACCATTTTTTATTGAATAAAAATCATTTTTACACTTCCGGTTTAATCGTGTACGTTGTCGGTTGATAGTAGGACACAAAAGCTTTTAGAAAATATTCAAATAATTCGTTAAAACGTTTGGAAGATTCGTAAAGATATGCTTGATGGGTTTAATTTTGTTAAAAAAAAAAAAATAAAACATCATCGTTTCTATGTACCCACATTGAAGTACGCGGAATAGTCATTTCCCCTAGAACTATGGATATAAGTATAATAGATAGTTTAAAAGTTTATATTTTATAATTTAATATTAATGATTTCATGCGTGTTCGCGGGTTCTTAGATAATATTTTTTAGGCAGATGGGTACAGAGTTTGCACTTTTTCCGTAGAACACACAATTTTGACTCAAAACAGTACCAATTAATTTTTATGTTTTATATGAATGTTATTGTGACTAAATTTAATTCTAAATAATGTATACTAAAATAATAAGATGTTTTCATTTTAGCCACCGCTCTAGTTCAAAACTACAACAAAAATATGTTAGTTATTTGAAATCAATTAAATGTAGATAAAATAAAAATGAAAAAATAACACTAATGTCCTAATTCATACATTCACCATACTTGTTGACGAAAAAGGTCACAAATGTGCCGTCTTCCAGTAATTAAAATATTGTTATTAACTTATTAAAAAAATAGCCATGATTGTTATATAATTCCTAAGATAATTTACTATTATATTAATTATTTATTATCAACTTCTATCAATTTAACACGTTATAGCCCCTTAAACTGAATAGTGCTACTAACACACATACTTCAACGTATGATTTGTTGTATCATATTATACGAGATAATTGAACGTCCTCAACATTTAAGTATTTTTAAATAATCAAGCCAGTTTACTAGTAAAAAAAAAAGCAAGCTTGTCTTACATTGGTCAAAAATCAAATAAATTTTATGTTGCTTTTTTTTAAAAAAAAATTTACCTCCTGTCTCGTGTAACACTAGCACATTATAGTATATAAATTCTATATTCAAACATTTATCATTCATAAAAATTTATTTTGTAATACATAGCATTATGTTAATTATAAATATATATTTATCGAAATTTCTCAGGTCATGAAGATTATGAAAAAATATTTTTGCTACATTATTATCAAATGATATAAGTGAAATTAAAATTAAAGCTAAAATAATAAAAGTATTTATAAAATTTAATTTTATATGATTTCTTTGTTTTTTTCATTAAATATTCTGGTAAAAATAGTAAAACTATTCAATTTTTGACTAACTAATAAAAAATGTAAATGTATGTAAATATATAAATTATTAAACATGATATTTTAAATTATAAATACTACAAATAATGTAAATTTTATTTTAAAACTTTATACAATATATATATATATATATTGAAAATTATTTACAATTATATTATTTTTGATAAGTAAAATGTTATACAATATGCTTACTATGTAAACCATCATAAATCATAATACAATATGTTCATATTTTATTAACATTTGAAAGTTTTTGAATTTTCATCAATAATGTGTACTGATGTAAAAACTTGTTTGTAATGAATACATTTATTATTTGATGACAAATTTTCATTCTTAAACCAATAATTTAATAATTCATAAATTTCTTTTTTTGTTTTTGGGAGCCCTATTGTTTTGCAATGTCTTGCTGTTTCACTCTAAACAATACAAATCACATTTTAAGAAATTTTAATAACACAATAAATTATAAGCTAATGATAAAGTACCCGCAGATAATTAACTACTTTCAATGGACGGTAAAAATAAAGACCATTTTCTTTTTCCAGTTGCATCAATTCTAAAAGTTCTTTGAATTCCTCAGTACCATATGTTGATATATGTAAAGCTACATCAGTAATATTTATATCAGGGTTTTCTGGATCATCTATATAATTTTAAATCTCACTTCATTACTATATTTAATTAACAAAAAATCATCATCTTAACTTGCCATTAAACACAAAAACAACTTTAAAACCATTTTTAACAATTCGTTCATCAGTTATAGTATATTTTTCAGCAGATGGTTCATATGAAGTATCCAGATTTCTAAGAAAGCAATAATTCTTTTCACCTAAATATCTAAACAAAGATTAATATTTAATTTTAAATTTTTATTTTTTTTATAGAAGTCATTAAAATTATTAATTACTTTTTACTAATATTAATTGATTTACATAACATTTTAAGTGGAATTTCTTCATCAACCATTTTTTGGAAAAAAACTACAGCTTCTTGAAGACGACATATATTTAAAGCTTTTATCTCATTTTGCACACAGCACATCCAATTATTTTCCTTTACTTCACCGATGAGTATGAATGGAGATAATTTACTATTTAAAAAACAGGAAAAAAAATTGAATACAATATTAATATGTATACAATAAAAATCAAGTTTAAAATTAACATAGATTATATTTTGGTAATCATAAATTTAATTTGATTTGCTTCTTGATAGTTTAAGAAAAGTAAAGCAAATATAATGCATCTTCTTTAACATAAACCAAAAGATACCAAAAAGAAAAAAATAATATAAAAACTTGAAAAGTTAAAATTTGATCTACTTTTATAATTCAGTTATGAGCACTAATATATCGCTTCTCCAGTATAATAATGACATAAGTGAAGATATAATTATTCTTCAGAAAACATAATTTAGAATAACCAGAAAATTGGTTATAACAACAATAACATAACTGCATTCTATCAGATAATAATAAATTTCATATTTATTCCATTGTTCCATCCAATAGTTATATTTGTTGGTACTGTTGTCACACTTATGTCAACAATTATTGTAAAAAAAAAAAAAAAAATGTATTTACATCATTGCAGCAATATAGCGATATTATTAAAGAAACGATATAATGAAAGTAAAAGATATTTCTAAAGAACTGTATTCTTTGAACTAAAGAAGTTTAAGTTAGAGTGAATGCACTATAAATGATAAACAAGTTAATTTTTAAATAATTTTTTTTAAAAAACAAAACATAATGTATACATAACATAATATTTACAGTAATTTTGGCTTCTCAAAAATATTCTTTTTAATTTCAGATAGTTCTATATTAATTGAAGTAGAACATCTTTTAAGAGTCTTAAAAATATATTGAAATGATTTTTTTGGAATTGATGTGTCATTTATTTTAGCAATAACTTTCAAATTTTTCTGTTTATTTGCCAATTCTTTATATCTGTTCTTTTCATCTACGTTCAAACAAGCCCATAATTTTACAAGTTCTTTGCTTACTTTTGTAAAATCCATTCCAGGATTTTCTTGAAGTACTATTAAAAATAAATATATAATACATTATAAAATATAAATTATACATAAATGAGTTCTTATCTTTTCATATAATTAATACTTTTTATTCTTAATTCCTTGGCAAATATTTTAAATCCTGACATCTCTTTATTTCCCATTTGACTACTAACACACTGAATGGTTTTACTAAGCTCTACTCCAGGAACATCTGAAATTTCATTAACTACACAATTTAATATTTTAGAAATATGATTTATAAAATGTATGGTAAAATTTTGTAAATATTAACTCAAGAGATCAAATGGGTGGGTATAATTAATTGCCACATGCACCAATGCTAGTTTGAACCAAGCCACAAATGACTATCCTCTCTGAACAACCAACTATTTAGAGAGAAAGATAGCTATCACCTCAGGGCAGGAGGCAACAGGAAATGAATGCACAGTAAGTTAACAGAAAGTTTCCTTAGTACCTAATTCTAATAATAATCTAAATGGTTGTCAAAACAACTCAAATGTTGTTGATTAAAGAGATATATTAATTATTATTTAAATAAATAACTAGTTAAATACATTTTCTTATCCCTCAACATACAATAATATATTAATAATTCTATTTAATATAAGAAAACTTCTTAAATCTTAAACATATTATACATTAAAAACAAAAATAATATCAATTAATAAAATAGAATTATAATAATACCTTGTGTTGATTTTTTTAAGATAGGTTCAGGTATCCATGATCGTGGATTGTTATCTAAGTGGTTAAGAAGAGGAACTTTTTCATCAGGAATAGAAACCAAAGAACAATGAGGTTCAAGTGTTACATCATTGTTTGATAAAGTTTCTGAAATACTTTTATTATTAAGGACTGGATTCTTTTCTTCTATTGCATTTAGTTTATTTCTTTGATTTTCTAAAAGGTATTTAGATATACATTTTTTTGAAACAAATAAATATAATAAATAAAATATAATAAAATAATAAAAATAAAATAAATATAATAATAATTACATAATGACAAAAAGGAGGTAATCAAATGTCAATAATTATTCACAATATACATATTAAATATTTACCAGCCGTATATTTAGAATGAAAAATTTCACTTGCATTTTCATTATCTAACAATAACTTATTTTCTAAAGTTGTAGATGAAGTATCAGATTTTATCGACATTCCACTCTGAAATAATATATAAAAATGTGGTACATAATTAAGTATTAATTTTATAAGTTAATCAGTACGTCAAGAAACAATAATTCAGATTATGTTATAAGTTTTTTCCAAAGTATTTTAATATTAATTAAATAAGAAAACCAAAAAATCAATTTACCTCTTAAATTTCAAATTATTGTGACTCAAATTCATTTCAATAAAATTAATAATATACTAAAGAAATACCTCCAATAGTTTTTCATTTATAACCACACCACCTTGACTCCACTGAGAAGCTAATATATTTTCAGCATTCACATTTGTAACATTTGCATTATTAGATTGAATAGTTTTATAAGGAACCGTTTGTTTTAAACATATTTGATTTTCACAATATTCTGAAATACCATAAGTTTTTTCCAATTCATTACTTTCTGAACATATTATTTCATCATTTTTATTTTCCTTGGATGTAGACGGCTCTTTGGAATCAATATCTTTTAAAATTGATTCTATAGGAATATGTGGATAGTCTTCATTATTAAATTCAGTAGATAAACTATCAATTTGTGACATGAAAATTACAGGCTTTTTCGCTCTAATTGCTTTTAAATCAAAAGATGTTTTTCTTTTATTACTTGGATGTGATTGAATTTCATTGATATTAGATTGATTATTTTCTATTTTATCACAATAAAAATGTTTTCTTATGATGTTTTGAATATTGATTATAACTATTTCCTAAAAATTAATATTTAATTAAATTAATTTTATTTACATGCAATACTACTTTAATAAATAGTAAACATGACCATGTAATACAGATCCAATACTCTGAATCATTAAGTTAAAATTATAAATTAACTATTACATGCACAATATAGTCAGTAATATTAATTAACAATATACTAAACCTGATTATGAAATAATATTCGAGATTTATCTGGTTCCAAATTGACATCAATAGATGTAGCAGGGACTGAAAGAGATATAAAACATGGCAAGTATTTTCCAGGAGATAAATAATGCCCAAAATAATTATTAAATTCTCCAACGATTAGCTAAACTTAAAGAAAAACAGAAAAAATAATTAAAAAAATTATAAATAATCAAAAATACATTTTCCTACTAATGTGTTCATACTTTTTCAATTTTATTATCCCTGATAGGTCTCTTGTTAACATATAAATATATTGAATCAGCAATATTTGTTGTAAAAAAACAATTTTGCACATCTATATTTTGTACAGGTAAGACTATATCAATTTTCATCTAATAGGATTAATTGTTTAAGTAATAAAAAAAAAAAAATTGTTTTCAATAATAATAATAATATAATACTAACCTCTTCATTTGAAAATTGTAAATGCTTTACATATTTTGTCATTGATGATGACCAAATTTGCCCAAATGTAATTTTTATATCACTAACAGGAGACATTTGCCATAGCACACATTTGTTATGAACTAATGAAACACGAATGTTTTGTTGAATAGCATATAATGATTTAATAATATTTTCTATTCTGCGTAAATCATTTACACAGTATTTTTTTGAATTATAAAGTTGTTTTCGGACCGGTAAATTTTTAAATAGATCAACAATTTTAATAACTGTGCCTGTAATAAATAAAATCTCTATTGAATTTTAATATACATTTAGTCATATATTTAATACGTATTAAACTAAATATCATAAGCATTAATTTAAATCACATTAGTATTACTTGATACTGGTATGTATAAATAATTTACCTACCCCTTTGATGATGACTTATCGAACTACTTTTCACGTGGCCATTTTTGTCAATGATAAATGATTGTGCATATTTATCAAATTCTGTTTTTGTTATGATGGTCACATCAGCTACTGCACAAATAGAACTCAGAGCTTCACCACGAAATCCATAGGACATTAATTGATCTTTATTTTTATAAAAAAAAAAATATTCACAATAATAAAGAATATATTGACCACATTTATTGTTAACTTTGAATTGGCCAAAAACATTTACGTTAATTTTATTTATCAAAATATATGTATGAAAATATTAATATTTTTTTTAATTTACTATTTGGTGTCAAATTTAAGAGATTTTGGGTCATTTCAATTTAGTAAATCATCAAATTATTTATAGTTAATGTTTTTGGCCTAATAAAAATAATAAATATGATTCAAGAGTCAGAACCTTGATTTTCTATCTGGTAGGCAATGATGTATATATTAAAAATATAAATACCTAAATCGGATATATCAGATATTTTAGAAGTATAACCTCTTAAAAACATCACATGCACATCACTGCATGAAATCCCAATGCCATTGTCACGTATTTCAATCTTGTCTAGCCCATAGTTTTCCTGATAGTTAAATTAAAAAATAATAAAATGGTATACATATTTAAAAGTTGTACATTTTTGAGTTAATATGTTTTTGTTATAATACCAGATGAATATCAATGATGGTAGCACGTGCATCAATAGAGTTTTCCATTAACTCCTTCACTACCGATGATGCTGATGTAATGACTTGGGCACTACTAATCAGTTTAATAGTTTCCAGCGGTAATTGTTTTAAAGACATGGTTTAGGGAGATTTTAGCATACTCCAATAACAGTTACTAATAAAATTTGAATAACATTAGATTAACATTTCGAAAACAACAATACGTTCGCTAAGATTAGTAAAAAAAAAAAATAATACCATAATTGCAGTGTCATGTCATGAAAATAATAGTAAAACAATTTAAGAAAACTAAAATTTTTTTTAAAAAAAAGCACAATCGCTTATCAGTTTAACGCATTAGAACAGGTTGAAACACGATTGTTCCGCGGTAAAAATATGTAATGTGATAACGATAAGCAATGGGTTGTCAAAACATAATTTAAGGTCCCCACACACTGCCGCGGTGGCGGTGGCGTTAAATTTGTACACACGTATTGCACACATATTGGCGGCTCGTAGATAGGGGCGATGGGGCGATCGCCCCTCTTCTAAAATTATTATTTATTACTAATTTATGAGTTTAATATCAAATTTCTATTGTAGCATAATATTGTCAAAAATAAAAATTGTGTTTCCTATATTTATACTAATAAATATTATAAAAACGTTATCAGACAATAGGAGTTTAAAAATAAATCATTCAACACTGTAGCTTCTGAGAATCCATAACCGATAACAATTTACCGGTCCCGCGAGCAGCGTATGCGATGCTTGGGCGATGTTAAAAGTCGCTCTTTATAAGCATGATCGGAATACAAAAGCTAAGAAGGGGTTATTAGAGTTATTAAGAAGTTAGTTGGAGTTATTAGGATTATTAAGAAGGGGTTATAGCAATAATGTTGCCGCCGGGGCAATGATTTTAATCGCCCGATATACACAATTTCCGAACTTGCGTGTGTTTATCATTAACCCGTCGTTGGTACACATGTGAGCGCGTCGCTCACACAGATAGCTTTTCGAGCGTTATTCGTACAAATATTATTGAATTGATCTGATACTATAAATACCTTCAAATAACATGTCTATAAATATTTATAAAAATAAATAATTACGCTATTTGTCATTGCCTATCAGTTATCGTTAGACAAAGTCGACAGTACCGATTAAGTGAGCGTCGCGCTAACACTGTACTAACCGCGCAATATTTTTAACACCACCGCCGTAGTCAATTACGTACACGTGTTTTTATTATTTTTTAATTTATCATGGCCAATAAAGTTATTTCGTGGTTAGAAGAGACCGAAGAAGTTTTTTTAGATGACTCAGACGATACCGATGCTGATCCTAGTTATGGAGATCCCGTCGAATTACGTGAAAATAAGTCTGAAAGTGACATTTCTGAACCTACGCATAGATCAAATACTTCGAAAACTTCTCGTTCAAGAAGTCGTAGTCCTATAGCACAGAATTCTTACTACTTAGGGAAAGATAAACAAACAAAATGGTATAAGGACGCTCCTCCTAGAAATGTACGTACTCGACAACGTAACATTGTTTTACGTTTACCAGGCGTAAAACAAATAGGTCGCGATGCAAATTCTATTTTGGAGTGCTGGAACTTATTTTTTTTCTAATTCCATTATTGACGATATAGTAAAATACACTAACATATATCTCGATAAAATTCGTTCAAAATATACACAACAACATATGGTACGCGAAACATCAAAATCCGAAATAAACGCACTTTTTGGACTGTTATATTTGGCCGGTGTTCTACGTAGTCATCATCTCAACCTTGATGATTTATGGTCAAACGATGGCTTATCCCCCGAGTATTTTCGAGCAGTTATGCCAAAAGCACGATTTTATATTCTTCTAAGAGCAATGAGGTTTGACGATATAGGTACACGGGCCCAAAGAAAACAATTTGATAAGCTTGCGGCCATTCGTTCTGTATTTGAAGACTTTGTTCTACGCTGCGAGAACTGTTATACAGTGGGGGCAAATGTAACTATAGATGAAATGCTCGAAGGTTTTCGAGGCCGTTGTAGTTTCCGACAGTATATCCCAAGTAAGCCTAACAAATATGGTATAAAAATTCAGGCCTTAGTCGACTCTCGCACCTTTTATACGTCAAAAATGGAAGTGTACGTTGGGACCCAGCCCGATGGGCCTTATAAATGTGACAATAACCCTGCAAGTGTCGTGAAAAGATTAATCGCCCCAATAACGAAAACAGGTCGTAATATCACTATGGATAACTGGTATAATTCTATACCTCTAGCAATTGATCTACTAAAAAATCACAATACAACTGTAGTTGGTACACTTCGTAAAAACAAACGTGAAATTCCCCTTTGTTTTTTAGAAACTAAAAAAAGGCAATTGAACTCTACGATGTTTGGTTATGACAAAGACATATTGCTTACATCATATGTACCAAAAAAAAATAAAAATGTATTGCTTATTTCCACTATGCACGAACAAGGTGTCATTGATCCGGAGTCTGAAGAAAGAAAACCAGAGGTGATTACGTATTATAACAGTACAAAAGGTGGCGTGGATTGCGTGGATGAAATGAAGGGCGAATACTCTGTGGCTAGAATAAGTTGCAGGTGGCCATTGACCATTTTTTTCTCTTTGATGAACATAGGAGGCATAAATAGCCAAATTATTTTTCGAGAAAATACAGGAATTTACCTAAGTCGTCGAGAATTTCTAAAAACCTTGGGAAAAGAACTTACAAAACCGTTTATGTTAGAACGATTGCAGATGCCTACTTTGCGTACAAGTATTCGACAAAGAATAATAAAATTAACTGGTTACACCAAGACAGAAAATGAAGTCCCTGAACGTTCAAATACTGAACATCGTCCGAAGTGCGTATTTTGTCCAAAAAGAAAAAATCGAAAGACCATGGTGAGGAAATATTTTTTATGAATACATAATAATAATAATAATAATATTATATATAAGTAATCATTATTTGTTTGAAATAATTTCGTAGACCAAGTGCGTAAAATGCAGCGTGCCAATATGTAAGGAGCATACGATGAGCACATGCGTATCCTGCTGTAACGATCACAACGAAACAAATACTACAGAAAGTGAATAGACCAAAGTCATAAATTTAATAGTTTATAAATTTTCATTTATATTAAGGTTTTAATTAATTTGTATTTCTTTATATGAAAAAAAATATTTTTTTTTTGGAATGAGATTGTAGGTTTTTATTTTATTTTATAAATTATGAAATGTACATAAAAAGTATTTATATACTTTTTAGTGAAGGATAAAAATATACATAATTCTAGATATGGTTTGATTTTTTAAGTTAATAGATCAATTAATAATAATAATAAAAGTGAAGTGTAAGCGCCGCGCTCACAGTGTAACAATCATGTTACAAACTATATGTGTACCAACGACGGGTTAACTTAGTGCGGTCGTATATATTAGAATTTTTTTTTTTTTTTGTATATCATGGACTCACCCACACTTAAAAATGCAGTAATTAAATTAATTTCAAAACCTTTTACGTCTTATACTTATGAACAAAAAATTGAAATAAAACAGCTTGGAAGATCTACACCTGAATTGAAAGGATTGATCAATAAAGCGAAGAAAAGTAAAAATGAATATATTCGGCATTTCAATACGGATTATTATGCAAAACACAAGTGGTTATGTGGTTGTGATATAAAACTAGCTGTTTATTGTTTTCCTTATTTATGTTTTAGGGGTGACATTTTTTGGACTAAAACAGGTATAACACATTTGGGTCATTTATCAGAAAAAATTAAAAAACACGAGAATTCTTTTAAGCATTTACAAAATGAAGCTAATCTTAAAGTTCTCGGTACTATCAATATTTTCGATAAAATTTACTCGGGCTATAAAATTAGGATTCAACGTCATAATGAAGGAATAGATAAAATCGTTATATATTAGAAAATATTCTGAACTGTATAAAATTCTGTGGACAACATAATTTACCATTAAGAGGTCACAATGAAAAAATTAACTCTAATAATAAAGGTGTTTTCATCGGTGTTATTGAGTTATGTAAAGACTTAGATGTAAGTTTGCGTAGTCATTTTGAAAATTCAAGTGTTTAAAGGGACATCTAAAACAATACAGAATGATTTGTTAGATTGTATATTACTTGTAACCAGAAAACAAATTTTATTAGAAATATTAACTGCTCAATTTGTTTTATAATCGTCGATGAGACTACTGACATTTCTAATATGTTTCAGTTAGTTATTGTATTTCGCTATGAACTTAAAGGTCAACCAGTAGAACGTTTTTGGGGGTTTTTAAATCTTGATGGACACAATGCAGAATCATTAACATCAACAATATTATCTGAAATAAATCCTATTTTAAAAAATACTCCGAATAAACTAATAGCACAATAGTATGATGGCGCGGCAGTCATGAGTGGACAAAAGAGTGGAGTTAATGTTAGGGTTAAGGAACTATACCCATATGCGTATTATATTCATTGCTGTGAACACCAGTTTAACTTAATTATGATACAATAAGTATCTCAAAATAAAGAAATTCGGATATTTTTTTCAAATTTATCAGAAATACCGGTATTTTTTTCAAATTCACCGCAAAGAGTAGCCGTATTGGATAAATTAGTTGGCGTTAGATTACCACGGGCAGTACAAACTCGATGGAATTTCAATATACGTACGGATAACATTGTTTATGAGTATAGAGATGAAATAATGGAGTGCATAGACAAAATAATAGAATCTTCCCAACAAACTTTGACTATTAATCAAGCCGGGTCAATAAAACGTTTATTAAGTAATTCAATATTTATATTCTGGTTATCTATGTTACATAAAATAATGCCACATGTAGACTGCTTATATAACAATGTTCAAGCCGTTAATACTGACCCGGTACAAATAAATAGTTCAGTCAAAAAATTTAAACGCGAAATATCTAAAATAAGAAATAATGTAACTGATATTATTGAAAGTGCTTCAAATATGCCTAATATAAATATATAAAAATCAAGTTTGGAATCACATGAAACCATAAATATATCGCGAAAAAATGCTGTGCTTGAGGCCTGCGATACAATAATTGTCAAAGTTAAAAATCGTTTATAATTTACTAAACACTTAACCGCCGCTAACATATTTAAAGCTGAAAAATATTTAGAATATTCTAAAACATTTCCATTACCATATTTTCAATGCACAATTGAAAGTTACACGTTTCTTGATATCGAAAGGTTGAAGACTGAACTAGAAGTTATATATTTTCGAGATGACTTCCAAACTTTGAATGGTGTAATTCCAACATAAAAAAAATAATATCAAGTGATGAATGAAACTTTTCGAGAAATCCTT